GCTCTGCTGTGTGGGCCTGGTCATGCTCAGAGCTACACCAGGCAATGGTAGTGTGAGGGAGAGGGAATGTATGTTGTGTTGGGGCTTCACCCCTGGGCCTCTGTATACAAGGCATTGCTAACCATATAAGTTGAGTTATTTGTGATGTGTTGTATGATATAATCTTTTGTGTTTCTCTTAAAATACAGATTCCTAAGGAAGTATAATCTCTCTAAATTTTCTGTTAATTTTATTTTAAGGAGAGTCTCCTTTTGTAAATATTTGTTCTCACTAGTCCAGTTGTTATTAATAACAGTACAAATTATGACATTCTCAGCTAAATACATTTTACCTGCTTTATGAGACATTAAGAGAATTAGGTGCGATTATCGCAGAATGGGAAAGTTTATGAAGCACAGGGATGTTGCAATTTAAAATTGTAAATAGTAGTCAAGTATATGAAAGGTTAAACATGGGTACCTCATGTAATCACTTTAAAATACCTGTCAAGGAAACGAAGCAATAGTACAGCAGATAGGGTGCTTACCTGTACACAGGTGTCGTGGGTTTGATCCTCAGCACCACGTCTACCCTGAGCCCCTCCAGGAGTGATCCCTGAGGTCAGAGCCAGGAGTAAGCCCTGAGCATCACCAGATGTAACTTAAACAAACAAAAAAAACAAAATACTTTCAAGGAACAAGAGGTAGTGTGGACATGATAGTACATGATAGTTGCATACGTTCCTGGCCCAGGAACGAGAGATTGTATGTACATGATAGATTGTATGTTGGGTGCATACATCCTAGCATGTACCCAGCCCCTGTTTGAGTCCCAGCATTACATGGTTCTCCAAGTATGTCAGGTGCAGCCTGGTGGACCTGGTCTCCTCAGCGCTGCAGCGCCCAAGAAGCGTGGTGATCCTTGAGTGCTTGTGCTAAACCAATGAACCAGTTGGCTAAGACCCACGTGAGGCCCACAACCTCCACTGGTTGGAATCCCTTCCCCCGCATATTTCATATCAGTAATGTGATATATCAACAAATGTAACCACTACACAGGTCTATGAAGTTTTTTCAGGATGTTCCTTATTGAGAAATTATAATATGGTTTTTAGAAGATATGATAAGCATGCAAATCTTAATAACAAAAGGTAGAAATAAGGGAAGTGAGGCGAGTACTTGATTGACTAGTGAAGTAATTTGCAGTTGTTAGTGTAGGATGTTGAAAGAGCATTTGGTGTTAGGTTGATGGAACTTTATCTCAGGGAGAAAGCAATACTTGAGCCAAGTTTTGATTGACCAAGAGATGGGAGGTAAAACAGACAAAGGCAGGTGGCGTCAAATAATAGAAAATCAAGAATTTTCCTGAAAGACTTGGGAGTTTTATTTTGTACCTGTAGCCCACAGAGGCAGGTATTTTGCCTGCATTTGGAGACATGGAATAAGTTCTTGTTTTTGCCAACAGAGACATTTAGAAAGTGCACCATTGGTGGTGGGGGAGGGTCATCCCAAGGGGCGAAGGGGTCTTAGGATAGGAAAGGGATCAGTATGAAATAGTTGGAAATGATAGCTTCGGACACAAACTGAATGTAGAAAGTAGGTAAAGGAATGTACCTAATAATCTTTTAGTATATATACTGCAGATACCATAATGCCTAAAAGAAGGGGGGGGGGGGAGAGAGAGAGAGAGAGAGAGGGAGAGGGAGAAATATACACTGAGCGATAGCACAGCGGAGCGGTAGGGCGTTTGCCTTGCGTGCAGCCAGCCCAGCTGACCCAGTTTCGATTCCTCCGCCCCTCTTGGAGAGCCTGGCAAGCTACCGAGAGTATCTCGCCCACACGGCAAAACCTGGCAAGCTACCCGTGACATATTCGATATGCCAAACACAGTAACAATGAGTCTCAAAATGGAGACGTTACTGGGCCCACTCGATTAAAATCGATCAACAACGGGAGGACAGTGACAGTGATATATATATATATATATATATATATATATATATATACATATATACACACATATATATACACATATATATATCATTATATGACTGAAACCCAATCATAAACAACCTTTTAATTGTATCTCACTGTGATTCAATTAAAAAAATTTAAGTGCACCATTATTTACCAACTATTAAGAGGCACTGGGTCTAGTAATTAAAAAAAATCAAACATGAAAACTGGAGTCATAAACACAGATTGATCTCAACATAAAGGAAAACCTCTCAAGTCTGTAGCAGCACATTCATGTCGAAAGGACTTTTGAGAACAGGGGTAGGACAACAAGTGGTGCTGAGCGCTTACTCCTGGCTCTGCACTCAGGGATCATTCCTGGCAAGTTCGCGGACCATCTGGGGCACCCAGAACCAAACCTGGGTTGGATGGATGCAAGATCTGTGCCTGTCTCTCCAGTTCTTAAGAACATTTTATAAGAAGCACTCTAGAACCAAATTTTAACTATATTTTATCTCTTTTACATAGGCACCATGATTTACAATGCCATTAATAGAAGTGTTTCAGGCTCACGGCATCCCAAGACCATAGCCGCCCACCTGCGAGCCAGCATGCCACAGTGGCCCATGTCCTCTCCCATTACCCACACCCCACCCCCATAGTGAACTTAGTTCTGCAGGTCTTGTCTCAGGGGCTAAAGATATTTAATTGCCCATCTATAATTTCCTTCCTGTTTTTTTTATATTGTACTTTTGAGAGAAATCCTTCTGTATTTGCTCCTCTCCCTTTGACTGATGTAAGCTTATTTTCTTAAAAGTTGAGTGACTCGGGGGTGGCCAGAGAGACCTTCCACCTGGTAAGGCGGTCGCATACGGCCGTTCTGAGTTCTTTATCCAGCACCCGCTGTTGTCCCACAAGATCTGCAGGCCTGTTCCCTGAATGCAGAGCCAGAGTAAGTTCTGAAAACAGCTGAGTGTGGCCACATAACAAAACAAAAGGGTTAGTGATGACTAAGATCACCACTCATCCTGTATTGTATATAAAATAGGCTCAGTTTATTAGGCTTTTTCAAAAAGAATATATAGTATGTGTATATATGTTCATTGATTTTATTGCAAATTTTTTTCTGGCCTTGTTTACAGGGATTTTCAGAACTAAAATGTTAACAGCTTGCTCCATGTTATATTTAGGAAGTAATGTTTCTGTGTATGCTTTTTCTTTAGAAAATGAATGGAGAAAGTTTTTTAAAAGTTTACTTTTATTTAAACAGAGTACATGATGTTTAAAAGAGTAATCCTGTGTTCCCTCAACTAAGTTAAGGATAAAAACTTTTATTCTAAGACCAGTGCATATTTCTAGTTATACATAAAGTCTTGGGTTAACTATTTATTGTAGAATATAATCTTGTTTTCTCTTTTTATCACTGCCAGTATTTTACTGATTACCTATAGAGAGATAGCAAAGCTTACAAAATGTATAATCCATAAAACATTAGTTTATCTACATTTATTTATTGCTAAAGCTCTACATATTATTTGAAGTTCTTTCTTACTCAGTGGGCCTAGGGATTATCTTTGAAGGCTAGTAATAAAATCTTAGAAAAACTTAAGAATTATTTTTATAAATGCTAATAATGAAGACTTAGTACTAATCAGTGGTCATGAACACTTACACCACTGTTTCATAGACACTGCATTTTTCATCATAATCACCGTAGGTGGCTACAAAAATAGAATCCATGTTGTAGCCTGTTTTGAATGAGAATGTTTGGGCATCACACTTGGGAATTTACATTTTAAAGTAGTGTCTTTGGTCTTTGTAGTCTCATTTTGAAGTTGGTGCAGCCAACATTTGTATTATGTTTGGACCTATATAATATAATACTTGCATAGTTGTTGATGTAGGTTTGTATTGTAGAAGCTTTAAAATCCTTTCATATTTACTAGATTTACAGCTATCTTTTTGGTTTCTATCTTTTAATAGAAACAGCTTCCAGTTTTTATAATCCTTTTTTAATATGCAACTGAACTGAGAGAACGAGATCTATACTAATAACCAGAAAGAACAGCATGGTTGCATATTCAAAAATTATTGATGTTTGCTGTGGGACTCCATAATATTCAAAAACCACCATATTAAAGCTTGGGCATTGTAGCATCTAAATCCTGTTTTTGTAACCACATGTCTTTGATGATTTACAAAAAAAAAAAAAAACAGAGGAAATCAGAATCAAATTCTTTGAGCAAAGAGTATTTTTTCTGAGTAATCCAAATTCTCTTTAGGGACATTGTATCTTAAGAAACTTACTAGCTAAGTGTTACTTGATTGGTGTAAGGTATAGTTTAACTGATGGGGGACATTTTGTACTATTCACAAGAACAGAATACTTAACTAGTTGATTCATACTATTCTGTTTATTAGAACTCAAATTAATCACGAATATACATAAGATATATCTATGTATCTATACATATATTTAAATATATGAATATTTCTATGAATCGGGTAGCACACCAAACAGTTCTAGGGCTTACTCTGAGCAGGGATCAAACTCTGGTCTGCTGTGTGCAGGACAAGCAACCACTTTACTATCACACTAACCCCCCATAAATTTATTTTTTATGATTATTTTATTTTATATTATATTTTTAAGTGGGACGGGACCTTGAACAATGTTCAGAGATTATTATTCCTAGACTTCTCGGGCCTCCTGGCACTGTATGGTCCCCTGATCACCTCCAAGAATGACCCTTGAGTACAGAGCCAGGACTCAAATAAAACCCAAAACCAAAGTTCATAGATACTAGAAAGACTGAAAGGGACTATGGCGAATCCTTACATTATGTTATAAATCCAGACATGTTCAATAAAACTTTGATACTTATAAAGGGAAAAAGAAATCTGAATTGTATTGCTTTTTGTTTCCAATTAATGTGTGCTATGGTATATACCTTCTTGGCCCAAACTAACTTTTAAAAAGCCCCAAACAATCATTTCAAGATAGGTTATTATATTTAAGTAAAATTTTTATAACTCAAATTCATGTTATTTTCATCTCTCTTCTAGATGCTTGTTGAAGATGTCACCTTCTACATGTGGGAAGTAGATACTGAAGGCTATTTGGAATACAGACAAGATCTTTAAAAGATAGACATTCAAGGTAAATAATAGTTATAATCTCATAAACAATCTTACATAAATGATTAGAGTTACCAAATAGTGATTTGCCATGTTACATTTGCTTAATTTTATCTCGGTCCCTGTCGAAATGGGCTCACAGTCACATATCATTCATATTCAGGCACACACTTCTACGACCAATAGTATCTTAGAAGGAAGTGTCCAATTTCATTTATGGCAGACAGCTGACAAAAAATTATATTCTATTACAGCAAGTGTGCAGACCGATCAAGAACGAAGAAGAAATCAAGTACCTCCCATTAAAACTGAGCGCAGGGCCCAAGAGATAGTACAGCACAGCATCCCTGCCTCGCATGCAGCTGGCCTGGATTTGTTCCCAGGCACTGTATTTGATTCTCTGAGCCCTGCCAGTACAGATTCCTGAGCACAGAACCAGGAGTAAGCCCTGAGCACTGCTGGACATGGCCCAAGAATCAAACAAGCAGAACAATTAAAAACAAAAAAGCAAAAAAAAAAAAAATGAGTATGATTACATCAGTAAGAGTTTAACTTGAAAAAATAAGCAGCAGTTTTTTCTTAAACTCATTAATTGATTCCTGAAACATGTTAAGAACTTGTTCTGTAGCCAAAGAACTCTGTCATTGATTCACATCCTCAGAATCTGAATACGAAGTCTCTTTTCACTATTTTTTAATTCCTTTTAGAAAATTTTTCTTCAGAAGACAGAAATACATCTTTTTCAAAAACCAAAATACATCGTCAATAAAAAATTTGCCTTTGGAAAAAATATCTACTTTTGCCTCTGTGTGAAGCAAATAAAGAAGTTTATAGCCTCTGGTGCAGGAAATTTTTTTCCTTTGTTCTATTTTTCTCTATTCTTTTAGAACACAAGTATTTAGAGTTTATTTTTCTCCCTAATTTGTGGTTAGCTGCTTAGTGATTTGCTCGTTTTCTGTGATGAATATTATTGTCAGAAATGATTTCTCCTGAAAATATAAGTGATATTATTTCTGATTCATTTTTATTTGTACATATGGTGAGTTAGTTACTTAATAGAGCTATTTAATTATTTTCTGAATTATTATAATTGGGTAATTATTTTTATAGTTCTTTCTATAGTCTAAAAGAGATCCTTTTGATTTAAAAAGAATATTCTATTTTTTAAATGTACATTCTACATGGAGAGAAAATAGTTAATCACATTACATGATTCATACAAGGCTCTTATTTATATGTTGTTTTTTTTATTGTATTCTCATACTCTTAATCCATTTGACAACATAACATGAGGCTGACACCTAAGGATAGTAGATACACAGGACAGATAGACTGCTCCATAGCCTGCCTCATGAGCAAAGGGGAGAAGGCAGCTGGAATAGAGAAGGGATCACTAAGAAAAAGATGGCTGGAAGAATCGGTCGGGATGGGAGATGTATGCAGAAAGTAGAAAAAGGACCAAACATGATGAGCTCTCAGTGTCTGTATTGCAAATCATAATGTCCAACAGTAGAGGGAGAGATTATGGGGAATCATGTCTGCCATGGAGGCAGGGGGAGGGTGGGAAACGGGGGGTATACTGGGGATATTGGTGGTGGGGTGTGTGCACTGGTGGAGGGATGGGTGTTTGATCATTGTGTGATTGTAACCCAGACATGAAAGCTTGTAAGTGTCTCACGGTGATTCAATAAAATTTAAAAAAAAAAAAAAAGAAAAAAAAAACTGTTTCTAAATAAATTTACCCTCACAGCAAAAATGAAAAAAAAAGAATCCGTTTGAATAAGGTAGCCTACAATAATGTCTACTACACTCTTTTCTTTTGTAAATAAGTATGATTTGTGTATATTTTTAAAATTTTTTCCCTTAACAAAATTCACGAGAAAGATAAAAATAAATTCAAGGGAAAAGAGAGAGTAATATTAGGAACCTGCATGTGCCCATCCCTTAGCGTTAATAGTTATTATGAGCTCCTTTTAGCTATGCCTCTACTTTGTACCCTGTTTTTTATTTACATGAAATTTAATATGCATAGTGGCACTGGGCTTTGTGTCATATCCTACCCTTACTCTTTTACTTATGTAATCTTTTTAATCATTTATTTTTCTCTTTTTCATTGCTGCTAATTCCCATTTGTACTCATGGCTTGTAGCAACCATGTTTTAACTGCACTGTTTCCCAGTGGTTTCTGGCCAAATTTATTTCAGTTTTCTCTCACAACAACTTCTTCTATAATGAACATTCTCATATTTGGTTCAGAATGGAACTCAGGAATTCTTTGGGATATATATGTATATCCCAAAGAATATTATAATATATAGGTGTATGTATATTTACTTGGTAGAGCAAGTAAATATGTATATGTATATATACACCTATCTATCTATCTATCTATATATATATATGGAGAGAGAGAGGAGAGAGAGAGAGAGAGAGAGAGTAGAATTGCTAGGTATTAGGATACAGCTTTATACTGAAGTCCTCACCCAAAAGCTCTACCAAATAGAATCTTAGTTCATGTTCACTAACCCCATAATCCCTGCTAACCTTTTAAATTCCCTAATGTTTTTAGTCTAATGTGTATAATTTATAACTCATTTTTTGCTTTTGTTTATCTTGGGATGCCACACCCAGCAGTATTTAGGACTTAATCTCTGTCAGGAATCACTCCTGGCAGATTTGGGAGACTGGATATGGTGCTGGGGTAAGAATCCAGGTTGACTGCATGCAAGGCAAATACCTTCCATTGTTTTCATTTGAATATTTACCAGTCAGGAGTTTGACTCTCTCTTCCTATCTATGTTCACCTTTTGACTTCTCCTGAAATTGCTTGTCTTATTAATTTTTATATTTTGCTGCTTTTCTCTTGATTAAAAAAGTCTTAAGAGATTGTTATAGATTCTGGTTATTTCCTGTCAGCTTTAGGTATTTAAAAATATTCCCTTCTATTTCAACCCTTACACACTGTGCACCAATATTGTAGAGCCTGAATGACAACTAGGAATTTAGGGTTGCCGGTACTTGGTACCCTCCAGGCTGCCCTGTTATGGTCACAAATGTTTGTTTGTAGCATGTGTAACCTGTGGCTGTGGTGGGCGGCAGGGAGTGGAGGGAAAAGGTGGAGGATTTAAGGGATGGCTGAGACCTCAATCCCAATGCATGCCATCAAGGGTTAACAAGGGCATAGTAATGGGGGCCCCATTTCTAACCCACTGTGCTTGGGGAGGCCCACAAAGTGCTTTCTGACTATAAGTACATGGCACACATGTTAGAAGTCAGCTGTGGATTGTGAGGAATCTGGTCTCCTGTTTGGTTCGGTTTCAGAATGTTCATTTTACCTCTCAACCAGCATAATTCTGCCCTAACCTAGAAACATCATTACTATTTGTTACACAGTAACAAATAGCTAATACTAACCGAGTGTGTTTTCAGAATGGTTTGTAAAAGACATTTTTAACAGTGAAGAAAGTTCACCCCTCCAGAAAAGTTTCCATTGTACTGTGTCATGCTCTCAAAACTATAATAACCACTGGCTTTGCACAGAGCAACTCATGGCATCATTTGAGAATGTTTCTCTGTAGTCATTTTAGCATCTAGGTATTCTATAAATAAGTCATTGTGTCCTTTATTCGTCTGTGCTTAAACATCTAGGTTATTCACATTTTACTGTTTTGGTGAAAACCTTTTTTTCTGTTGAATTGTTTCTGGAGATTATTCTTTGGAGTAGAATCACTGTCCCATAGCATATGAAAATTTTATTTACTTAGTATACTAAGTTCTAAAAAGTTAAATATTTACCACTTTCTTTTTTCTTTTCTCCTCTATTTTTCCCTTTCCTTCCTCTTTTGTTGTTGTGATGAACAGTACTCACATAATTTGGTCACAGTACTTAAACACGTGCACACCGGGGGTCCCACTCATTCATGGTGTTGTTGGCACTTGTTTTGGTTGCAGTGCTTGCCAACCTTCTCCCACTCGATGTTGTATTTGCACGTACTTACTTGAGATGCACTGAAGATCACACGATTGTGGTTTGGGGACTCCAAACAGCACAGCTATTGAGGTTACACTCAAGCTTGTTGGAGAATGCCAGGGATTGCATTTGTAGTCACACTGACTGCAGGCATGTGAAGCAGGCTCTTTGGCCACTGAGCTGTCCCTGGACCTCTAGTATTTTCCCTTTAGATTTTGTTAGGGGAGGGAAGGTAATGGTGAGGCCAGACTTAACAGTGCTCAGGGCTTACTCCTGGCTCCATGCTCAGTGATCATTCCTGATGATACGCAGGAAACTGTAGATTATGCCAGGCATGTTGAACCAAGGCTGTCTGTGTGCAAGGCATATGCTTTAACTTTTGTAGTGTCCCTCCACCCCCCCTTCTCAAATTTTTATTGCTAAAATGTAAGGTTGAACTGCAGAATTATTTTCACTTTGTGCCAAGATTGAACTTTTTATTTGCCTTCTTTGTTTGGTGGATTGTGCGCTCCTTAATTAGCACTACAATATGGTTTCTCATGGTCTCATGGCAGTGCCACCACTGTAAACTAGTTTTCTTTTCCAGTGTTTCTGTGTTTTAGCTTCTCTGTACACAGAATGAGAACTTGAGTATTACTTATCTCACACAATTGTCAGGAAAAAATAAAATGATTCCCAGAAAACATGTGGTTTGATATTAAACAGCTAAAGAATCTAAATAAGTTTAGATTTTACTCAGAAATTATAATGATTTTACAGATTTGTTATCCCTTCATATGTATTAAACATTCTAACTTTCTTGGTCTCAAAACCAACACATTGTTGCATTTTGAAACTTTTACTATCATATAGAAGCCGTGTTTATTTTATTTTATTTTTTTTGCTACCTACAAGTAATCCTTATAGCTACCTTTAATTAAAATGCTTTTATGTTACTTTGCTTTAAAAAAAAAAACAAAAAAACTGTTCCAGGAACTGTATTACATCCAGGACTCATAATAAGACATGGTGCCTTTCCTTAAGCTTTTTTCCAAGTCTTACACAAGGATTCAAGGTTCCCTGGAGAAAAAGAACCAGTAAGGGATTTATAGATACAGATAAATGCATATGTATGTATTGATTCATTTCAGAATATTGGTTTACATGGTTATTGACTAGCAAATGTGAACTCTGTAATAGTGCCAACTGGCTGAAAACAATTGGGCAGGAGCTGATGCTTCAGTGAGTCAGAATTTCTTCTTCAGGGAAATCTCAGCTTTCTTGTTACAATCTTAGAATTGATTGGCTGAAGCTTACAGAGTTTCTAGAGGGTCCCTTACACTATGAAAGGCAATCTTTTTAAATTAAAGTAAATGCCTTGTGATGGTATCATTTATTGAAAAAAATTACAAGATATCTTCCTATGAATTCTACTCTGTAATTATAAGCTGCTCTTACAAAGTACTGTTAAATTACCTATCACTGAAGTATGACTACATCAAACATTTTTACTTTTAAACAAAAATATATGCCATCCAAATAAATGTTGATTTCAAAAGGATTGTTTTGAAGATATTTTCATTTTATGATGTTATTTTGAAACTCATCTTCTAGATTTGCCTTCTGAAGTAGAAATTCCTTCTTTTGGCTGATTTGTAGTGCCCTCACCTTTAAAACTTTGCTTAAATGTCACCACAGTATGTCCTGTCTGACCATTCTATTTTAAACTGCAACTCTCTTCTACCTTGCCTTGTTTTCTTTTTATCCATTACATTTACATTTTTATAGGTCCATGTAATGAATATATTTATGTATGCCTGCAATAGAAGCTAACCAACACTAAAACAGTGATTTTTGTAGTCCAATACAAAAAATATACTTAAATAAAACTTTTATAAAAATGCTTCAGCTATCAATCTCTGGATAGATGTTACTTATGTATATATTTTTATAAAACATGCTGATAGATAAGTAGGTCTTTAGTTTACTTTGCTTACAAGACCTGTTGTATCCATCTTTCCACTTTTGGAGCCTAAGAGCAAAGTCATTTTCAATTCAAGGACCCTACTTGCTTAGTAAATCTTACTCTCTATTTAAAAAAAAAAAGTAGCAAGTAAGATAAGTATAAATCAAACTTGAATAGTTTTAAGAAATGTTTGGTTTTACCATAGAAGACATGGTGTGTTATACCTGTACTATGAAGCAATCCTAAAGGAAAACATTCACAGTACAAGAACTTATAAATTCTCACTTCTAATCTAAATTGCTTCCCTTCATGTTTTTATAATTATAGGTGTGTGTCTGTGTCTGTGTCTGTGTCTGTGTGTCTGCGTATGTGAGTGTCTGTGTGTTGGTGTTGTTATGTTAGCACACCTGAAGGTACTCTGAGAGCTATTTCATCTTAGTGCTTGGGAGTCATTCTCTTTAGTGCCAGGAGACTATGAAGTACAAGAGTCCAGGGGATTAAATGTGGGGGTCCTACTGCAAAACATGTTTTCCAGCCCATAGAACTATCACTTTATTTATTTATTTATTTTTAATGGGGCTAGAGCGATAGCACAGCTGATAGGGCATTTGACTTGCACGCAGCCAGACTGGCCAAGCTGGGTTCGATTCCTCCGCCCCTCTTGGAGAGCCCGGCAAGCTACCGAGAGTATCTCGCCCACATGGCAAACCCTGGCAAGCTACCCGTGATGTATTCGATATGCCAAACACAGTAACAACAAATCTCAAAAGGGAGACATTACTGATGCCCGCTAGAGCAAATGGATGAAAAACGGGAGGACAGTGAGTGCTACAGTGCTATTTTTTTTTTTGTGAGACACCATGAGGTACAGTTGTAAACTTACAAATTTTTGTGCTTGGGTTTCAATTATACAATGATCAAATACCCATCCCTCCACAAGTGCCCATTTACCACCATCACGGATCCCAGTATCCTTCCCAACCCCCATCCCCCCCATCCCACCGTGCCTCTGTGGCAGGGCATTCCCTTTTGTTCTCTCTCTCCTCTTGGGTATTGTGGTTTGCAAAAGAAGTACTGAGTGGCAATCATGTTTGGTCTATAGTCTACTTTCAGCATGCTTGTCCCATCCTGGGAGGATCCTCCCAACATCTTTTATTTGGTGCTCCCTGTTAGAAAAGATGAAGTCATGAAATTTACATACAAGTGGTACTACATGGAAAATATCATGCTAAGCAAAGTGAGTCAGAAAGTGAGGGAGAGACATAGATACAGTGCTATTTTTTAATGAGTCACCATGAGGTACAGTTACAGACTTACGAACTTTTGTGCTTAAGTTTCAGTCGTACAATGATCGACTACCCATCCCTCCACCAGTGCCCATTCTCTACTACCAGTGTTCCCATTCCCCATCACCTCCCTCTCCGCCCCCCCACACCTGCCCATGACAGGCGCATTCCCTTTTACTCTTTCTCTCCTTTAGGGTGTTATGGTTTGCAATGTAAGTATTAAGTGGCCATCATGTTCGGTCGATAGTCTACTTTCAGCACGCATCTCCCATCCCAAGTGGGTCCTCCAAGCATCCTTTATTTGGTGGTCCCTTCTCTATCTGAGCTTCCTTTCCCCCCCAGCATGTGAGACTGGCTTCCAAGCTGCTGTGGAGCAATCCTCCTGGTCCTTATCTCTACTATCCTTGGGTGTTAGTCTCCCATTCTGTTACTTTATATTCCACAAATGAGCACAGTCCTTTTATGTCTGTCCCTCTCTTTCTGACTCATTTCACTTAGCATGTTACTCTACATGTTGATCCACTTATATACAAATTAGAACTATTACTTTATTTCGAAAAGCTTTCTTAGAAAAATATAAGAAATGAAGTAACTAAGAGAAGATGGGGGGGACATGAGGCACATCTCACTTTGAGATGTGGGTGACTCTCCAGAATGGTGAATGTACCCCGGAGGTATTTTAAGTTTAGCTTTTGTTCTTCTGTGTGTGGGGGGGGTGGGGGGGGAGCAGTGGAATGGTCACAATTAGCAGCACTCAGGAACTACTCCAGGCTGTGTGCTTGGGGGTCACTTCCAGTGCTCAAGTGACCATGTGTGTGGTGCGGGGGATGGAACCCAGTATACTGCATGCAAAGCTCCCACTCAGCCCATTGAGCTATCTTTTTAACCATGAGGGTATTTTTTAAGCCCAATTTAAAAAAATATTTTTTTAAAATAAAGTATTAGACAAAATAATTTAAAAGCTTATTTATATCCAAGCTGTGTGGGATTATTGTAGGAACTCTATAAACAGTAAAAGAGATAAAAATCCCCCTCTCGGGGGGTTTATTACCTATTTAGGGAAACAAATAATAAGCAGCAAAATAATTAAATAGTGTTTCCAAAAGTGACATGTTTTTAAAAGGAAAATAAAATATGGTAAGTAGAAGGTAAGTGGAGAAGGAGAAGATGGTCAGGGAACACTTCTCCGAGGAAAATGATGTTTTTTTAGAAACCTCGTGAGTGATGGAGAAGGGAGCCATGTCTGGAGTAAAATGGTATTCAGGTGAAAGGTTTGAGGGTCAGCATGAATATTGTATGAGGCACAACAACAAATCTCAGGGGCTGATTTGGAGAAAGTAGAGAAAGAATGAAATAAGTCTGAAGAGATAAGAAGGGTGGGCACATAAGAGTGCTAAAAGTCCAATACGGAATTTTAAGATTAAGTTTAAGATTGGTATGAACCATTGATGGCTTTTAAACATGGGATTGTTGTGCTTGTGAAATGCAGAGCATCTTTGAAAAAAACATATCGAATCATAGATTAGTGCTATAAATAGTCTAAAATAATTAAAAGCAGAAACTAAATTAGATGGCATTTTAAATCTAAAAATTAACATTTGGTAACTCAAACAAGGGAGATGATTTTTTAATACTCAAAAAGTGCCTAACAATTTAATTTCAGAAAAAAATATGATTGCATAAAAGATATGTATACTCAGTTTATCAAAGTAGAAGTACAATTGACTAATAAACATTAAAATGTTCAGTTTTCCAACCTTTTCCTTAAATTGTGATAACTTTTTTTAGTGATTTATTGCAGACTGTTACTGTATTTTGCTGTTCTTTTTGTTGTTTTTGTTTTTAAACCTCATTTTTATTCATGATTCAATGTAATGATGTGACCTGATTATTTACAGTGTGTATTATTAATGTGTGTCTCTGTCTATTTGTGTGTGTTTATGTCAGGGTTATGTCAGTGTTTCTGTTTTGTTAGAAATGCTGAAAGTAAGAATCCAAAAGTCAAGGGAAAGTGTGTGTGTGTGTGTGTGTGTGTGTGTGTGTGTGTGTGTGTGTAATGGGTGGAATACCTAGCATATTGGTGGAAGGAAGTAAGCAGACATCTATCACTGACATTGTAAACCATGGTTCAACAATAAAACTGGGTGAAAACAGTACATTTTGTAGATCAAATGAACAGCTAACCAGAATACAATGCTATAGTGGGTTAATGGGAAATCAGATGGTACTGCTTTATCTTTCTTCCTCTTTGAACACCGCTGGGTGTGACCCAAATGTCTCCTGCCCCCCAAAACACAACATTAACTTTATATATGCACTGTATAAAATATTCAAAAAATGTATTGACTGATTACAAAAAAATCAAAGGATGAAAATGTGGCACCAATAAGGATAGTCCCCAAAACTGAGTCATAAGCCACAGAGATAGCTCAAAGGGTTGGAACCCAGAACCCCAGGTTCTCTTCCCAGCACCACATGGTCCACTGAGGTCCACCAAGAGGGATCCCCAAGCAACTCGGTGCCCAAGTAACCCCTGAGTACTACCCAAGTGCGGACCTCCAAACCAAACCTACCAACAAAAGACAACCAAACACAACCGAGTCACACGCCCAGAATACAATTTTGAAAGGGGAGTGACCAAACTTTGTTAGAGATGTTATAGGCAAGGGAGAGTCCAAGTACTGTTCCAGATTTGCTAAATCCTCACAATAGTATAGACTAAACTTTATTTTTCATGTAGCCCTTCTCTGCTCTCTGCACCTAATTCTAACAACTCAGCTCACCCTGTTCCCCTAAGTATGATTACAGAAAAAAGCCTGTAGCAACTTAGGGTATGTTACATCACAGTTTTTGGATAATATCTTTTCCATCATTCTGAGATCTTTCCTGAGGGGTCCCTTGCCACTACATTTCTCCAGCACTAATTATCTTCGATTGCGCCACTGGAGTGGAGCGATAGCACAGCGGTAGGGCGTTTGCCTTGCACGCAGCCAACATGGCCGACCCGAGTTCGATTCCTCCGCCCCTCTCGGAGAGCCCGGCAAGCTCCTCGTGACGTATTCGATATGCCAAACACAGTAACAACAAAGTCTCCAATGGAGACGTTACTGGGCCCGCTCGAGCAAATCGATGATCAGCGGGAGGGCCTTTACTTTACTAATTATCATCATTTACTCTCTGGTAAATGTGTTAGATCTTAGTTGCTTTTTGCTAGAGTTTAGAGGCATATGTGAATCCCAATGTTGCTGAATATGCATTATGTGTTTTTCCATGAAAGATCGAAAGGAATGAGATAAGGAGGAAGAAAAGGAAAAACACATAGCTGAGAGAGGAGAAGAAGAGAAATATGCAATAAACTATAGGAGCAAAATTTGTGATTCAGTGAAGTACAGACCTAGGAAAAACATAACACAACAGAAGATGAATTATGAGCTGACAAACACAAGGAGTATTTGTTTCAGAGGCAGGAGACATAGTACAGGTCAAGGTGCTTGCCTTGTATCCCTCCAGTCGTGTTTTAAACTGTATTTAACTGGCACCACATTGGTGTCCACACCCATCTACCAACCCCAGCCTGCACCACGTAGTTGTTCTTCTGGGCACAGAGCCAGGAAGAGCCCCCGAACACTGTTGGGTGTGAACCTGACCCATGCCCCAACCTCCCCAAAAAGGGCCTCTGTTTCAGAGTACTAACTGAAAGAATGTAAGAGTGACTAGGCATTACCTTAAGTAAAATAAAAGATTTAAGTGAAAAGAGCAAATATACCAAAGAAAGAAGAATATGATTTGAGAGAATTTTGTGTATGTGCATAGGTAGATGTATATAA